AAAGAGAAGAAGTTGCAGTGGGTAACTCAGACTTCTTATATCAATTAATTACATTCAAACTTGAACACGGAGACCTAGCCTGGAAGGCTGAGCGAAATCGCAGGAACACAAAGGACTCTGGTGCCTGTGCGGATTCTGATAGCTCAGATTCAGATGCGGACCCGGCGTCACTCACAAATGACTCAGCTCAAACTTATGAATTTAGAAAATCTAACGACAAAGTAAAAAGAGCAAAGGATAGATTATCAGCGGTGAGAGGGGTTGTATCATCTGAATAAAACTCTTTCCAAGATACTGACATTTTGCTTCATATCATACAATCACAGATTTCTTTGACTGTTATCCAGATGCTTAATTTTGGATGTAATCGCCGATGTAATGGACTGCAAGTTGAAAACACAATCACATTACTTGCCTGTGGGGTTTCTGAGCGGGTGAATCAGTACTTGCACCACATTGGCTTGAGTGCCAGTCGAAAATCAGCTCTCCGTGGGCTCTTAGTACTGCCAAAAGAAAAGGCAATAACAATCAAGCAGAAGATCAAGTCGGCCGGTGTTTTTGGTTTCCTTCTATGCATTGATAATCTTGATATGATGGAAAGAGTACATAGTCGCAAGGTTGATGCGACAAGCAAAACTTATCATGGTACATGGGGTTACGTTCACTATCTTGACCCAAATACACTTGCTAGCCTCGATGGATACGACTGTACAGTGCCAGCGTTTCAAAAAACTCTCAAAGACGATTTCTCAAAGCCAGTTGATTCAGGCGATTTCAGGCCAGACGCAGACAAACACAAACGCTGGGGCCTGACCTTGAGGAACCAGGTGGCTCGAGTCCTACTGACCTACATGAAAGAACCCGACAAATACAAATCTCTTCCGGTGTTGAACCTGTCACCAATTGATCAGATCAAAGCAGAAAAACCAAACATCGACATGCTGAAACTCATGGATTCATCTGACAACGGTTCTGATGGAATAGCATCACTATATGAAGAACTGATTAAACAGACTGGTCTGACACCCGATGATTTTTCAAATCGATTACAATTCATAGAAGGCAATCTTGGGACGTGCTTAAACTTCCATGGCTTAGAAAGGCAACGAATCCCCTCAAAATCGCCGGATGAAGCTCTTTCTCACCTCATCATGGTTCCCGGAGCAGGACACACCTTGTGGAACATCGCGCAGGCCATTCTGTTACATCACTGGGGTGATCCGGAGGATAAGGAGGATCTTGGTGCTTGGAGGTCAGCTGTTGAGTTGGGGGCAGATAAAGCTAACCCCACGGCGAAGAAGGACTTTACTTCAATGATCCAATTGATTGAGCAGATCCATGAAGCATCAATCACGCATTGTATATTGTGAGTACCATTACATTGCTCATTTGGACAACCAATGCTCGTCAAGCCTTGACTCATATACCACATTCTTTTTCTGTGTAAGCGAACTACTTGGACTCACTGTAGGTACTGTTCAAGAACAAATCGAAATGACAGTGGAGACCTTTAATCTCACTGTGGAAAACGTATACACCACCTATTTTTCTGGACGGGCTTTGCTAAACGCAAGATTAAATGAAGATAACAAGCAGCAGCAGTTTCTCCTTCGAATCCGAGACTTTGCAACAGTTGTTGAAGCCAATAGGGCTATGTCCGATGGTGATATTGGTCGGTTGCTCCTCATGTGGAAGAGGTGGAGTGTTATGACTCAAGGTCTTAAGGGCCTGACCCATTACTCGCGATATCTTCCTCGATTGATCCATCTTCTTACAAAAGTGCTTCCCAAACCTTTAGCTCAAGTTATCATGCATTCGCTCTTGATCTCACCTACAGGCCGACCAGGCCATTTTGTTGCAAAAGATTTTTTCCTCAAGGTCCAGAACTACTGGCTGAAGTATTTCTACAATAACGCGGTATGTAGATATACATGACACCTAGCTAGGGTTTATCCAACTGAATCTTGTCTCATTTTTACTGCAGGGTCCTGGAACAGATATCCAGCTTTTGAAAGAGACTTTCTCTCTTACCATTGGTCTAGTAAATGTTTCATTTCACATTGTCACAAGCATTCTATGAAGTTTGGAATCGTCTGCCAAACTAACTAACAATTGTTTTTTATTAGCTCGCATTTTTAGTGGAACAAATGAAAGGTCGAGCTGGTCAAAATCAAGTTCGACAGTCACACAAGAACAAATCAACTGCAGCCTCCTTAATGTGATTCTTGAACATGGCTAAAATTGAACGCATCAGTGAATCAAAAGCAAAATCAATCATCGCCAGTGGTTCGATTTTGGATGTCAATCTCCTAGGCATTCACAAACTGCAAGATGATTATGTCAAATGTCGCCTGGAACGTTTCCACTGGCCCCTTTCATCAAACTATGAACCATCGGGAGTCAAAGAAGCAGAAGAAGCAGATCAGGAAGTTGAACAGCGTGAAGAGTTTGGGGAAGTCGATGAAGAGCTTGTGAGATGGATCACTGAGGAGCTCTACTGACCTTTGGTAAGCTAATTCCTTTGCATCTAGTTCGGTTACTGGCACCATTTCAACGGTCATCCAATGCAAGCATCGCTTGTGGTACGCGGCTCTGAGTGCAGATGCTTCTTTATCCGCCTTGACCTTTTCAGAAGACCTCTTCTTTGTCTTAGGTTTAATCGGTGCTGGCGTACGAGCAAGTTCCGGATGGATGGGTGCCTTCAACTTCAAATCGATCGCTTTCTGTGCACGAGTCTCCGCGGCTTCCTTTTTTTTCTCGATCACCTCAGCCTGTCTTCTTCGATAATCAATCACCTCATCTCGACATTTCCATTGTTTGATGTACTCAAACACTGCCTTTACTCCTCCTTTTATGATATCACCACCCATTGCAGCTTTGATATCTTCCTCACAGGTAATTTCATCAAGAGATTGAAGTATATCTGTGGCGCGATCGAGTCCAAAATAGTCTGAGCTGAAAAAGTAATCGTCATCTCCGTATATGTATTTGTGAAATAAATCGTATTGAATACTATGCTTCTGTTGCACCGTAGAACTCCTACGCTGTGTGGCGTAGGCTGAGCCGGAGAGGGGAAGAATCACCGCAGAAAGAATAACAAGATGCGGGTGAAACTATGATTGTCGTAGACTGCCCTCAACCTTGAAATAACAGTTCAAAAATAAAAAAAGCAAGGAAGCAACTCTCTAACAACTTTCTACCTTCACAAGTCTAACACGTAACACTATTCTGATATTTCTAAAAAAACCCGCAAGATCTGGCGGAATCCAACAATACCCTACACAAAGATATACTAGATGTTGAAGCAAAGATATGTAGATTTTGAGTTTAATGTAATTCTTGCTATGAGTAAAAAGTTAATGATAAAAAATGATATATGGAAAGCCCTGATAAAAAAAACCCGGCCCTGAGCTTGAATCCAACCAACTGACAACTG